TTAAAACCAAATCCCCCCAAAATACTGCTCTGTATTGTTGTCATTTTGTATTTCATTATTATGGAATCATAGACTCATGGAATGGTTAGAGTTGGGAGGGACCTGAAAAATCAACCAGTTCCACCCCCTGCCATGGGCAGGGACACCTTCCACTAGACCAGGTTGCTCCAAGGCCCATCCATGTAACCGAAGAAGTTGCTGAAAGACACTTTGGACTGTGCTGAAGGCACCTTTCGCAAGATTCTCACAGGTCACAGAACATCTCATTCCACTTAATTCAAATGTAACAGAACTAATACACTTGAGAGCTGAGAGGAAACGATCATTTTGTGTAGATTATCCTTTGCCTGCAGATTTCAGAATATGGAAATTTCAGGCTCATAATGGAAATTCAGTTGCAGCCATGACTAAAGCACCTCCAACATGGCAGAAATATGAGTTTCAGATGAGTACAGCCCTGCTGTAGTTCAGATAAAATATCCCTGATTTACATCCCTGGAAATGAGCTCACCTACTAACGCAAACATTTCCCATGGTTTGAGCTGTTACGGAGGGGGAAAAGCCATTCATCCATATTTCAGAGCCAGAGATCCCCCGCAGCTCATCTGAATGCCACAAGAGGTACAGATGTGGGAGGAATTTAATGAATGGATAAAAACTACAAATCCTGGAGCAAACACTGGAATCAGTCATTAATGACGTGTTAATGACTGTGGGTGCAGCCCTGGGGAATGGCAGCTCCAAGGATGCTCCTTGCTGGAGAGGGTGGTTCTTTGGGGGCCTCTCCCAGGGAGCAAACCTCCCATGGCTGCCTCTCTCTCTCGAACTATTTTTTCAAGTGTTTTTCTTCCCGTGCTGCGCAGGGACAAGATGATAACAGTGGCTGGCACCAGTAAGTTAATTTTATAAAGAACTGACACCCTACTCGAGTGCCAACGATTTAAAAGAGTAATGGATTGTCACTTTTAGCTGGAAAGTGGTTGTTAGATGATTTTAGAAGTCTTTTGCATATTTATTTTGTCCCACTTTAAATAAATTTGGGGAAGATTTATCTCGTTAGCTCCAAACGCAAGTCCCTCCTGGCCTGGCTGAGGAAACAAATTAGACTTCGCAAACATTGCAAAGACTAAATCAATACATTAATATTTAGGGGACATTAAGGGGGTTTATTAAACAGAAAGAGGGCCTTGAGTATTACTTTGGGAACGTGTTTAAATAAAATCCCGAGGTTGTGGTTTCTGACTGAATCTATAAATGGCATTTCCACAGATAACCGAACTCTTTACAGGCACGAGTCGAGCACTGATCTTGTACAGAAACAAGACAATGCAGGGAGGGAGGACACACACACACAGGGTCTGTCCCCAACAGTGTCCCATGTGAACAGCATGGGCTGGATTAAAATAAAAACTAAGATGGTAAGTAACTGATGGAAGAAAGGTTTTGTCTCGCTGATACAGTTTGCCTATGGCAGCAGGTGGAACAGGATGATTTTTAAGGTCCCTTCCATCCCAAACCAGTCTGGGATTCTGTGACAGTCTTGTAGAAGTGCTCTTTTAGCTGGTGTTTGTTCTTCCTCCCTGGGATACACACAAGTGCACTATTAAAGCAGAACAAAATCCTCCCCGAGCCCTTATTTCACTGCGTTCAAGAGAACAATCTCTTTCAGAGGGGTTCTTTACTTTCCTAATCACCCTGGCAACCCTCCCTTGGTGACTGAGGTACCTTTGACACCCTACTGTGGTATCTGTGTCCCTGGAGTCCCAAACACAACTCCTGACCTGCCCTTTGCCCCCACAGTCCAAGAGCATCCTCACCATGTCCTGCCTCAGGGAAAAAGGGGCCCTGGGGCTGGGACCACTTGCTCTGCCCCAGGGATCAATTCATTCTCAAGGACAGTGGTAAACATGTCTTAATATTTTTGCCAATTGAAAGAAAAACGCAGCTTGGAGGATGCAATTTAGACTTTGGTAGAATAAATGTCAGATTAGAAATGGCAGAAATTGCAACCTTTTGGAGAAAAATTATGAGCAATTGAGCGTGGAAAGAGGGATTTCATTTTTCTCTTTTACTGTGACAAACAGCTGATGTTTAAATCATCTGAAGCTCATGACTTTGCAGATCAAGCATCTGCCACTGAGGTAGACTGAGTTGATTACAAGCTCCTATCATCTAAACTTTTAATTAATTACTTAATAATTCTCACTTCTTTTTAATAAGGTCACTGAAATGAAGTTAACTGGATTTTGTTGCTCTCTTTCATGTGGTTTTTCTTTCACAGACGAAAATGTGGCCTAAAGACACATTTTCTGTTTTCTTTGTTATTAACTATCTTCATTGATTTCCTTGGTACAAAAAGGAGTAACTGTAACAAGAAACAGTGATCAAGACTTGACCTGGTGGTCTCCTTAAGGTATTTGAGCAGGGATTTGGGAGACTGAAACTCAACCTCCATCTCTGCCAGATGTTCCTGATGGGAATGGAGAGGCTGCTTCTTCCATTGTTCATTGACCATGGTGCTTGTCTGTGTCTTACTCACAGAAATTAAGGCATCTTTAACCTATTAAAATGTATTTATTTACTTCCATGAACATGAAATTGTCAGCCCAAAAAGCAGAGAAGAGGATATTCAACATGACAGGTTCTGGCTCTCTGTGTGTAGAAAGACTGACACACACACCCCAAGACAAAGGAAAACAAGAGGGAGTCAGGTTTGCACAGCTTGTAACATGGAGCTTCACAGCAAATAATTTTTATGTCTGGAGTCTGAAGCTATTTGGGAGCTTATAATCCAACATAAGCCTTTCCTCATCTCATTTGTGACACAAATGTGTGACACACGTACCCCTGGCTCCTCCAGCTCCACTGTTTCCAGCAGGAGAGAATCTTCTTCCACTGTTCCTCCACAGAACACAGCCTGGAGGGTACAGGGGTGTGAAGGGACTGAGACTCTGCTCTCAAACGGTTCTTTTCTGCTGTGATTTCCTGTGCTGCTCTGGGTCTGTGCTGAGCTTTATTGACAATGCTAAAGGAGGCCCAGCCCTTTGACAGAACAGTTTTGCTTTGGCATTTCTCCCCAATAGCAGAAATTGTTTCTAATCTCAAAATAAAAAGTCATGAAGGATATTACAGGGAAACACAAAGGTGTTCCCATGAAATCTGATTATATCATCCCCACAAACCCTATAGGGCAGGAAAGGCTGTTTCAGCTCCTCACATCAATCAGCACTTTGCAGTTTTCTTTACAATTTCAGGTATTTTCAGACAAGTCAGTCTGCATCTCAAAGGAGGTCTGAATGTGGTGTCCTCACCTACAGTCTGAGCACACGGAAGATGAAGAGATGAGCATGAGTCCAGGTGTGCCCAGGTGGCCAGAAAGGCCAATGGCACCTGGCTTGTGTCAAAAATAGTGTGACCAGAAGGATTTAGGGAAGTGATTTTCCCTCTGTACTGGGCACTGCTGAGGCCTCACCTCAACTCCCATGTACAGTTCTGGATCCCTCACGACAAGAAAGATACTGAGGTGCTGGAGCATGTCCAGGGAAGGGAACGGAGCTGGGGAAGGGTGAGGGTGAAGGTGACCTAAGATCAAGCAAAGCCCTTCCAGACCATCAAGTCCAACCTGTGCCCGATCCCCACCTTGCCACCCAGCCCAGAGCACTGAGTGCCACGTCCAGTCCTGCATTGGACACCTCCAGGGATGGGGACTCCACCACCTCCCTGGGCAGCCCCTTCCAGTGCCTGAGCACCCTTTCCATGAGGAAATTCCTCCTGATGTCCAACTTGAACCTCCCCTGGCACAGCCTGAGGCCATTTCCTCTTTTCCTGTCCCTTGTTCCCTGGGAGCAGAGCCTGATCCCGACCTGGCTCCACCCTCCTGACAAGGTGGAGTGAGAAGATTCCCCCTGAGCCTCCTTTTCTTCAGGCTGAGCCCCCCCCGCTACTTCAGCTGCTCCTGGTGTTCCAGGCCCTTCCCCAGCTCTGTTCCCTTCTCCAGACATGGAAAATACAAACACTTTTGCAATCCCTGAACATCCCCTGCATAAATCACATGGTGACACATCTTGACACCTCCATGGAAGGTCATAGAAATGACTCAGTGGTGGTTTTTTGACCATACTGATAAAATAATGTTCTTTAAGCAATAACTACACTTCGCTCGGAGCTCGAGCCCAACATTCCTACAAACCATTGGGTTCTAAAGGTCCCATGGATAGGGATAATTAGTTTGGGAAGTGTTTCACACTCATTCTTTGTAAGGGACTTCTGTGTGCCATATGGATTAATAGGGATTGCCATTTCAATCCTTCTCTTTTATATTCACTGCCTTATTACTCATAAAAATGCAAAAGAAAATGTTAATGATGATTGCACCAAAGACTAATAAGTTAAAGCCTTAGGTTATACTTTGCATTTCTGAAGATATAAATGCAATTGCTTAATAATTATGCATATTTTTAACTATTGAGTTATTATTTCTCTATATGCTTGTAGTTAGCCTAATTAATTTTAAGCTCCTGTTGATATATTTTATACATGCAATTAATTTCCGACTTGGTTTTTTAGCCCTTGCATGAGGGCATTAATTATTACGAAGACAATCAAAGCCAAAAATTGTTCACCCTGGAACAACACAATAAATACTAAACCCATGTGTGTAAAACTGACACTGCTGTTCTGAAGTCCTTCTAGCAGAGAACTGCCACTGAAATAAATAGACTGTTCTTATCAGGAATACTGGGATCTGAGTGTTTATGTGGGAAAAGTGCTCTGGAAGAAACAAGAAGAAAGAATGGGAGAGGGAGAGAGAGGAAGAAAGAAAGAGAGAGCAGGGAAAAAAAGAAAGAAAAAGAGAAAAAGAAAGAAAAAGAGAAAAAGAAAGAGAAAGGGAGAGGGGAAGGGGAGAAAAAAAAAAAGAAAAGATGATGGTTCCCATCCATAAACCAGACCTTTTTCTCCTCCACCTCCCACAAGGATGTGGAATTGGCTCACACACATACCTTGCACAGTTAGGTGCACCTGCATGGTCCTGGGAGTGTGCTGGGTCTGCACAGAGCAAGTGTAGGGCCCATCGTCGGTCACATCCACGTCCTGGATCTGCAGGCTGTACTCCCTCCTGTTGGCTGTGGCGATGGAAACCCGGGGATCCACTGACCACTTGTCACTGCCAGCAAAGATAATGCTTGACCGGTTCAGCCAGGCACCTTTGGAGGCTCCATCTTCCAAGTAACACCTGGGAAAAAAGTGAAACCATCAGGATGAAAATATAGGAGCTGTTAAGTCACATGCTCTGCTGATGATTTTTAGACTGAACACAACTATAATATATCAGAGTTGAACCTCAAACCATGGGTTATTTGTAAATTCAAAATCATCCTTAACCCAAAAGCCCACATTACAACACAACATACACACATGTATTTTTTCTGTTCTCTTCTTTCTTTCTGGTTTTCCTACTGGGAAAGGCTGGTGGAGCAGTAGGAAGGAAGTCTCAGTTATTTCTGACTGGGCTGGATCAGCCCTTTCTCCTCCAGCCCTGGCCTGTGAAGATCAGGAGCACCATGTGCTCCCATGAAAAATTACTGAGCTGTTCCTAAGGCACAGACACCTCCTGCTTGCTTAGTGAAGGAACAAAGAGACTTCTTCCATCAAAATATATAAGGACACTGTAGAATCCAAACCAAATTTTTTTATCTTTTCAGAGAGTTTATGAAATCACAGAATCAGGGAATGGTTTGGGTTGAAGGAATCTTAAAGCTCATCCAGTTCCCTCCCTGCCATGGGCAGGGACACCTTCCACTACACCAGGTTGCTCCAAGCCCAGTCCAACCTGGCCTTGAACATTCCAGGGATGTGGAACTGTTGTCCCTCCCAACCCAAACCAGTCTGGGATATGATTCTCTGAAAACCAGTAAAGGCCAGCAGTGGCTGGAAAGGGAGGGGATAAAAGGACAGGGAGAACATGCAGAAAGAGCTTTATTTCCTGAGCTGATGGAGAGACTGAGCTAGTTTGCAGTGAGGCTAAGGATATTTAATGGGAGATCAACACCCACTACACACTCCAGCTTTCCATGAAGAAGGTGACATCCAGCATATGAGAAAAGGCAGAGATGGAGTAATGGCAGAGCAAAACTTTGATGTACTCAGGTTTGAGAGCAGGAAACTGCAAATCCAGGAGTAATCTGAGAGTGATGCTGTAGGACTGGGAAATCTGCATTTCTTTCCATAAATTTAAGGAACTGTGGAGAATGAATGAGGCAGATTTTAGGCTCACCACCATGCCCACCTTGGGAATGCAGGCTTTAAAATTACTTTAAAGGCTGAAGGAATAAGGAAGGTAATACAAAGTGCAACAGACTAATGGGACATTTTTATTTGATAAAGAGGTTTTCACATAAAGGAAATCCAGCAGAAGAAGGGAATGCAATGGAGCTCATCTCTTTGATGAAACATTAAAATAGCACAACTATAGAAACTAGGAGGGAGAAAATGGTGATTTTGTGGCTTAAGCATCTGGCAGTATTGTTTAAGGGGAAAATGACATTCCTTTTAGGAATAAGAAACTAGAAACATGAGGCTGAAATTCTTCAGAAATGAATCATAAGAATAACCATTCATTTAATTAATGATCTCAACATTAAATCTGAAAGAGTTCTGAGAGAAGATACAACATGGAATAAAAAAGTCCCCATTTGTATAGCAGAGAATTGGGATGTCACTGGTGAGTGTCACTTTGAGGCTGAAGAGCACAGCAGACACCAGTGAATCTCTGCAGGAGGAGTTTTGTAGGGTCTGGTCCCACCCAGAGAAGGCAAGGAGCCACTTTCAAAGTCTTATGAACATTTTCTATTCTATTCTAATGAACAGCCGAGTGGGGAGAAGCAGAGAAAGCTCTAATTCTCTGATGTTTTTCTACACCATATTTCTTTTCTGCTGCTGTCTCTGCAGAGCTGGATCCAGTCAATTATAGCAAATCTGAGAACCTGGGCTGGTGGAAGGTGTCCCTGCCCATGGCAGGGGGTGGAATGGGATGACCTGTAAGGTCCTTTCCAATCCAGGCCTTTTTATGATTCTGTGATTGTCCAGACCCTGACGAAGCACATTGTGGTATGTGAGAACACCTGTTTCAAACTAAACATTAGCTCCAAATAAGGTGCTTTGCAAACAGATTAAATATTTCACCTCAGACAGGCTCTTTCAACAGCCCAAAGCTCTCCTCTCTCCACTTACTCAAGACCCATTCGTGTTCCCTCAGGCTGTGGGAGTGAAGTGATTTGGAAATGCTGCAGAATTTGGCTGGAATGCTTTGCACAGGATGGCTTTCAGAGCCAGCAGCAGCCAATGTACTGTATTTTCCCATCATGCACGTGGGATGTGATGGATAAAGTGCATATTTACTCCATGGAAGCAGCAATCAAATGATTCATCTCGGAAATGTTTTCTAATCTAACGAATTTAATCCCTTGCTGTTTGCAAATCACTTTTCAGTTCTGAAAACACAGTTATTCCCTAAAACTCTTCCACAGGCAACTCGGAGCCCACATTCCCCCAAGTGAATCCCTGGCCAGCAGAGGCCACGCTGTAGTTACTGTAGGGGAACAGAAACAAGAACAATTAAGGATTTGCCCCTTTTAAATGATGGCTTGGCTCTTCCCCACATCCGTTTACAATCTTCTATGAAAGAGCAGCCATTCATATATGGTTGGTGTGACATAACCAAATGATTGCACGTGGATGAACATTATAACACTGAGATCAATAAAAACACCAACCCCAGGCAATCCCATGATATCTGAGCAGCACACATGGACTCTGTGACACCCAAGCCACCCTCATACGTAGGCTCTGACAATCTCTGTGCTCCTCATTGCTCAGAGGGTTCCCCACTGGATGAACGGCTTCATTTTAACAAAGAACACCGGGTTTTACACTATTTTTTAAGCTGCAGATAAGAAATGACAACTATGTATTATTTTCTGTGTACCAACATGAATATGGCATGGAGCTGTGTCAGGAGAGGTCTAGGCTGGATATCAGGAAGAGGTTCTTCCCCCAGAGGGTGGTTGGGCACTGAACAGGCTCCCCAGGGAGCCAGTGGTCACAGCCCAAAGGCTGTCAGAGCTCAAAGAGTGTTTGGACAGTGCTCTCAGGGACAGGGTAGGATTGTTGGGGTGTCCTAGGCAGGATCAGGAGCTGGACTGGATGATCCCTGTGGGTCCCTTCCAAGTCAGGATGTTCCATAATTCTATGATATCTGGAAACACATTGGCTATTTTGACTGAAACCATGCAATGATGCAGCTCCTTCAAGAAGATGGGGCTTGGAGCAACCTGGTCTGGTGGAATGTGTCCCTGCCCATGGAGATGAGATTTAAGGTCCCTTCTGACCCAAACCATTATGGGATTCTATGAACTTCCCGCTATACACATACATCATCCCGGACTGGAGGATCGGAGCACACTTGGTGACAACCTCCTCATGAGTGAGGACTGGGGAGGAAAGACAGCTGTGAAGAGGCAAGTACCCTTCAGAGCAACCCAGTGAGCAGTTCAGGGCCCCTAGCTGTGCAGATCCTGACTACACCTTGCTGTGCAGCCTGGGCAGTGAGATGCCCACACTCAGTGCCTGGAGTGCAGGTCACAGGGCTGCCCAAAGTCCTCCCTGAGAACCTCTAGTTCCTTAAGGAAGCAGCAGGAAAGCTGAGCAAAATGTGTTAAAAACCCTAAAACAGGAATGGCCAAGTGAATATTTAATAAAACCCTCAAATTTGAGCTTACGTTCTGGAACGATTTGCCTGTTTGATTTTCCAAACCCCTCAGGGAGCTCAAACACGAGTTTTCAGCCAACAGGAGACATGAGGCTGAGCAGCGCTTCGATTTCATGGGAAGCTCCGAGGAGCTGGCAGCCTTCCAACGCAATCCTCCGGGATGAGGCTGAGCCTCAAGCCAAGAGTCCAACTCCTCTTCACCTCCTGGTTGTGAGTGCCATAAATACATTAATAATGACCCAGACCAAGGCACACACAAAGCCTGTGGGATCCCAACACTGAAGGCCCACAGTGACAGGACCAAGACTGTGGGACCTGGGGTCCATCACTGCCTGTCACTGGGGGACAACTCAAGCCAAAGAATGCTGAGGTTTAATAAAGTCCAAGATTAAAACATTTCCTACAGTAATCTATGGGAACTCATTTATTGAAAAGCAAATATCAGCGGCCTTCCCTCTTTTTTCCCTTTCTCTCTCTTCTCCCTTTCCCTCTCTTCCCCCTTTCCTCTCTTTCCTTGAATTGTTGGTTTTTAAACTCATGACAGCATTTCCTGCAAAGCAATTTCTAAAATCTATGCATAAGACTAATTATTTTTAGAAGTTAATAATTACACTGTAGCACAATTAAAGTAAGCATAACAATCATAAAATGAAAGTAACTTTTACTCTTTTTACCTTTACATGGCTTGGAAAACTATTGATGAAACCAGAGCTGAACTCAGAAGAGAATTCTTCTATTTTTAAACTTGGAAGATTGGAAAAAAATACAATTTATTTTTTAACTGATGATTGTAATCAGAAATTCCTTACTCAACAAGCATAAAAAATAGATTTTAATGTTAACTGTCATACATGGCTGAGGGTACTTTATTATTTTTCCAATCATTATTAATGGGGATGATCTTCTGTAATTTGTAAGTACAGAAAAATTGTGTCTCACCCAGCTTCCCTCAAGTTTTTAATCCTCTTTTTTTTACACCTCCCCCTTTCCCAGCTCTGTAGTCTATTATTTCCCCATAATTAAAACAGAGACCTATTAATCTTTGTAAAAAACAGTTCTTCGCAGTTGCTTAATTAAAGCAGCACACAGACTCTGTCTCTAGGAGCCCACGCAGTGCACCAGGGCTGGGGCTCCCTGCTGGCTGCCCCTGAAGGACAATGCATGGGAATGCACGTGGAGCCTTCCCACATTCCATAGAACACAGGAATGTGGGACACTTGTCCATCTCCAAATAGCCTTTGATTCCCTCTGGTTTAAGGACAATACTTCTGGATAGTGCTTGGGCAGTGTTTAACAAGAAAATAATCTAAGAATCACAGATTGGTTTGGGTTGGGAAAGACCTTAAAGCTCATCCAGTCCCACCCCCTTCCACTAGACCAGGTTGCTCCAAGACCCATCCAACCTGGCCTTGGACACTTCCAGGGATGGGGCAGCCACAACTTCTCTGGGCAACCTGTGCCAGGGC